GTATCCGCATAAAAGAACACCTAGATGGCAAACGAAAATCAAAACAAGGCACGCCACTAGGCACGCATAGGATACAAAAGCATAACGAAGACTGATGTAAAAGTCGCTATCATCGCGCGGTAGACTAAAACACCAACTCGCAAATTTCTCGAGGCTTTTTGGATAAATTCCAAAAATCCGAGAATGAATAGAACGGAAGAATACCCTGAAATAACGCGTAGTCTGGCCCTGTATCTCAGAACTCATTTTTGAAGTGGGATGGTGCAGTAATCAACCATATGCGACTCTAGGCGGCTGTTCTTCCTTGGTGGAAAACGGATAAATCGTGTAAATACTGTTCAGATTTTCATTTTTCTGTTTGCGTTGTTGAAGCGTTTGACTTAGTGAATTACATATTAGTGTACCCTTCTAGGCTCTGAACAAGGCGATACTGCCGAAACAGCTATCGTTGCGTTATATATGTTATATTTGTGAGGAATTAAACGTGTGTTGAATAACAACCTCGCGACTGCTGTGAAAAAGTGAACAACAGATTTATAATCCAATGCTAATGTTGTTAATAGAAGGTCGATCTTGGGAAGAGTTCCTCAGTGTTCATATGAGGGCCATGGTAAATACAACGCTTTTAGACCATTTCGAACTGCAGCATTAGTCGCTTCTTTCAGAACTGCATTAGAAGGAGAAATCTCTCTGCTATTGGCGCTGTTGGGACGGCTCGTTGATATAGGAATACCAAGTAGTTAAGACAATTCGGTTGGAATTAGCTGCTCGCCTTTCTGTACGCCACAGTGGACCTCTTGTAAGTAGCAGTCACTATGCCGAACACCTAAAAGTTGGGTAATTAAACCGTTTGTCATAATTATACAACAGTTATGGCACAACAATACAACTGTACAATTAATGCAACAATGATACAGGTAATGAACAGGCGCAGCCTGATCACTGGTGTTCAGGTTGCTTATGGGTGAAGAGATTGGCATTCACTTCAAAATCATCGCCGTTGTGCTTTTGTGCCCTATGCGTACCTAGAGGAGTGTTTAAACGGATTTTAGCTTTCCCATCTAGATGTTCTTTTATGCGGACACAAAGTGGTCTACCCGTTTCCCCGATATATTCCTCGCCGCATGCATTACATGAGATCAAGTATATTATACCTAAACTCATGCAATCCCCGTCTCTCCCGTTAGGACAGATCATACAGTTTTCTGAGCTGCACAAACGATCATAGAGACGATTTCGAACTAATTGGTGGCGTAGGGTATTGGGTGGGATGTCAATAATCGTTAGGCTAGAAAGGTTAGGTAAAGTAGTATCAAGGGGGAACTACCACCAATACCCTTTCCCCGAACTTTCTTTAAACAAGAGCTACCAAATAGCGATATTGCCCTTACATTTCGGTTATTTTCGGACGAAATTCTCCGCATACTTAATCACTACCAAAAACGAAAAAGAAGCTCCAACCTCACAAACCAAAAAAATGTGGTATGCGCCAGCTTAGAGAGCTTTTGAATTCAAAATCTATTAGAATTTCTATTAGCGATAAAGGCGGAGAATTTGTAGTTTTTCCTAGTCAGTTGGATATTAGGATAACAGAGAAGCACCTCAGTGATGTTTCTCTCTATCGAACATCCTCTGAAAAGGAATACAGAAACCAATACCGAAAATTGAATCAAGAATGGGTCAGCACGGCAAAGGCCGCGGGTTTAGAGCCTTCAGTTATTTCTCGACTTAAGAACGAACACCCGATTTGCCCTGTCCTTTACTTGCTTATTAAAACACATAAGCTTACTTCAACTGATGATATTACGTCAACGAACCCATCATCATATAAAGTTAGACCTATCATCAGTTGTATAGGCGGGCCAACGGATAGAATAACGTGGTTCCTAAACCTTATCCTAACCCAGCTGCTAAAATTCATCCCAACCCATCTACCTAAAAAAAAAAAACTTCTAGATCACCTAAGGCGCGCGCAACCAAACAGCACGCATATAATGGAGTCATTCGATGTTAGTCCACTTTATACCAACGTGTCCAATGACTCCGCAATGCAAGCCATTCTCGAGCTGCTCGTAGAGCACGAAAAGAAAATAAAAATGCACGGCTTGTCGATTGCGCAACTAATGACTCTCTTAGAACAGTGTCTTAGTTGTTCAATCTTTAGGTGGTCTGGAAAATATTTTGCACAAATTAGAGGGTTGGCGATGGGGAAGCGTTTAGCACCAAGCCTTGCCATCGCTTTCATGTCTAAGGTGGAAGCTCCAGTTCTCGATCACCGACCCTTACTCTACTGTCGATACATAGACGACTGCTTCATCGTCTGTTCCACACAAGAACGGATGGATGAGTGCCTTGAATTATTAAACCGACAGCCAGAGTATATAAAATTTACACGAGAAAAACCAACCGAGAACTGGCTTCCATTCTTAAACATCCAAATAAAGCTCTCAGTAAGTGGCTATTTAACAAAATGGTATCGCAAGCCAAGTTGTAAAAACATTCTGGTTCACTGCCTCTCCTCTCATCCTTCACACATAAAAAAAGCACTTATCAAAAATATGTATCGTACGGCTAAAAATGTGTGTACAGGAGAAGAGGAAAGGAAGGAATCGCGAAGCCTGGCACGAAAAATTGCCATTTCAAATGGCTACGAAATAGAAGCCACTCGAGTTAGAGAAAAACGTTGGACACAGACAAACACTTTGTTTCGAATGATGCGCGGCATGCAGCACATTCGGTCCGTCTCAGAGGGACGTCACCGTACTTCGTCTTGAATTGTGTGCCGCATGCAGCACTTCAGTCCGCCTCACAAGGGCCTCATAGGCTCGCCACCTCACTTTACCTCGAATGATGCGCGGCATGTAGCAGCTTCAGTCCACTTCATTGGCATGCCACCTCACTTTGTCTCGAATGATGCGCGGCATGTTGCACTTTCAATCCATCTCGGAGGGACGTCACCTCACTTCGCCTCAAATTGTGTGCGGCATGCAGCCCTTTCCATCAGCCTGACAAGGGCCTCATAAGCTCGAAACCGCACCTCGTCTCTAAAGATGTGCAGCATGCAGCAGTTTCGCTCCACTTCATTGGCATGCCACCTCAATTTACCTCGAATGATGCACCGCATGCACCAGCATCAGTCCACTTCATTGGCATGCCACCGCACTTCGTCCCGAACGATCTGCGGCATGCAGCACTTTCAGTTTTCCTCGCAGGCGCGTCAGAGGCACGCCAACGCACTTCACCTCGAGTGATGCGCGGTATGCAGTACCTTCAGTTCGCCTCAGAGGCGCTCCAGAGCCATGCTACCGCATTTCACCTCGAATATTGGGTAACGACAAACAAAAGTAATGGGTCTTGGTGGCTCGAAATTGAATTGACCTATCCTGTTTCAGCATACATAAGAGACGATTTGTCCTAAGAGAACTACTTGGTTCATGATGGCGTTACTGCCTTGTTTTCCTTTTAAATAACAACTAAAAGGAAATAATATTTTATTCAAATAGCAGGAAAGAGTTGGAAAGGAGAAAGCACCGGCAATACAAAGAATTCGAAATAGATATAGTAAGCAACGAAGAAGTGTCTCACCATAACGATGAGCTGAAATGAGCATTAAAGGAATATTACAAACCGGAATTCATCAACAAAACACAAAGAATGCCAATACAGTGACCCATGTAAAAAGTTAAGAAATTAGATGATCCTAGTTTACAGATAAATTAGTCGAACTGCACATAACGTAACGTAACAGGGAGGATGCGTCGTTTTTTGGGTAACAACCATACATCTACAGAAAAACAGTACAATACAACAGTAGCTGACGTTTCGGCAGCATCGCCCTCTTCAGAGCTTGGAATGGCATACTAATACACAATTTACTAGGCCAAACGCTTCAATAACACTTATGAAAAGACGAAAAACTCTATGGCAATTACATGACCAACAGCTTCTCGAGAAACTCACCGCTTTTTTACGTAACTTCCTGTGAGGAAGATTAGAGTAAATTGCATATCAGTATACCCTTTCAGGCTCTGAAGAAAGCGACACTGCCGAAACGTCAGCTACTACTGTATTGTATTGTGTTTTTCTATGGAACTAAATGTACGCTGTATAACAACCTCGCGATTGTTGAACAAGAAAACGACGCATTCATATTCGTGTCGAGATTAATAGAAAGTCGATCTTGGGAACTGTAATAGGGAGAATATCAGATGACGAAAATAATTGAACAGTGGAATGGATAGAAAACGGTAAGCAGATATACGTAGAGCACTTTAGTTTCTGTCCAATTGACTTCGGCGTTACCAAAATACCGTGAAGATTTCACAGAAGTTTGTTGAGGTGATGAGGGAAATAAAATATACGAAAAGATCCCTCATTTTCATTTCAGAGCAAGAAAAACTCGAAAAGCTTAGACATTCTGGCGATCGGCTTACTGCACGTTGTCATCTTCTCTTCAGTATTACCATCGCGTTCCTCCACAATATGGCCTGATATTTCTGGTAATGTAAGTTCATCTGAACTCACTTTCTTCTTCGACGTGGTTCTATTTGGTATGACAACTCCATTAACCTAGGAAGATGGAAATCACTGACAAAAAATCGCAGACCTATCGAAAACTGATAAAGTGAAAAAATCATAAAAATTCTATCCCATTGCTAGCTGCAAAAAAGCGGTAGGGTACCTACCTACTGATTGGTTTCAGTTGAGCGTCGTTTTTATACGTTTTTCATCATTTATTACACCCGATATCAGACCGAAAACAAACTGTCTTCTTTTTTGAACTCCGACAACAACAACAGATATACAAATGTACAAATGTAATATGAAATGCTCAAAGTATCTATTCAAAATCCATCTACTCCATGAACTTTATCTATACCCCATTGCGTTGTGGGGAGGTATACGATCTGCACATCGTCATACCTTTTTCTCCGACTTCCTTTTTGAACTTTTTGAACTTGAACCAGGCACTGCACACTATTTCAACAACACTGTGTCGTTTATTCAGTTACATTAGAAGTGCTCAACTCTACTAACCGTCGTTGGTTATCAACAACACGGAAGTTTCGAATGAAGTTCTGAGTTTCGAAAATCTTCTTTGATTCCAGTTGTGGAGCTGAAATGCGTTCTAGCTTATGATAAAGAACCGAATAAGTTTCACATTTTCGCAAAAACACTGCACAGATGTTAAGGAGCTGCTCACCGGTATACCTAGATTTGCACTGGCGGAACTTCCGTAGAATGTTCGCGATCATATGCTGAAGGGAAAAAGGAGAGTGCCATGGAATAAGAAGATAACTGACAGAAAATATTGCCAACCATTTTTTCAAAATTAACCAATCCGTTGTAGTAAGTTTTGTTGCCTTCATGAATAAACGTTAAATCCTTCAAGAGAAGCGGTACGAACGGTATTAATGGCGGCAACATCTGAATTATATTGAAGTGATTTAAATTTAAAGACGAAAACGTTCCAGGTGAACAATATTCGTGTATATTAAGGGAATGCAGCTTAGAACAATGAAATACCTCTATTCAGGATCCATAATGATTTCTAACCAAGACAATCAGTCCTCATATCCCTCACACGGTGACGAAGCGATAGATGACCCGATTAAGCAAAATTTGAGCTAATTGCTATTTCTTTCTAGCGCCCCATTTCCGAAAACTATCGTTGTGAGCAAACTTATCGGGGAATTTGTGAATGCTGCATATACAGACCACTCTCTACCTCGTACAGAATATCGTGTTTCTTATGCTGTCGTTACCTACTCCGTGCATCTCTTGCTAAATACTACCGACATTGCTGATTTCTTCTTAAGAACGGAAGTGTAGTGGTTAGAGATGTCGTGCGATAACAGACTGTATGGTCGCCGGTTGGACACCGCCACTACCAAATGCCCCATACCTTCGGAGTCGGTAAGTTAGTAACAAACTTTTCAGGGAAATGTCCCCTCCTATATATAAGGGTCAACGACTCTCTGTGATGAAAATCTGGAAATTCTTTACTGTTCTAAAAAAAACAAGCAGACAGCATTCAACGACATTCGTGGAAATAGAGCTCTAAAGTGGCAGCCCTAACGCAAATTCGAGCATGACGGTACATGTAAGACAACAGAGGAAGCATTGGGATCTGCACAATATGTGAAAGTAGGATCACATAAATAAAAGTACTAAGCCACAAGGAGGATTAACCTAAGATACCCTTACGGAAAAGACATTAACAACATTTTAATTCTCAACCCTGCCATTGCTTTTTCTATGCTAAAGAGGCACACACTTAAAGTAAATGCAAACAATCATAAGAGAGCATTAAGGAATTCAAGGGTTCTTCGTAAATTAACTACTCGTAGAAATGTCGATTCCTAGATAACGATACTTTTCAAAAAGAGACCATTAATTGTGAATAATAAAGAACTACACAACAGCTGACTGCACTACTTTTTTCGTTCCTTTTCTACTCATTTCTGCAGCATTTCTAAAATGAAAATACCTTAGCAACAAGAGCACGATACGGTCGGTGATTTCGAGATGGATCTAGTAGTGATTCGAATTCGGCGAACTGCCGGCGAAGTTTGGCTGGCAGGCGCTGGAACGAGGGTCAACATCCGGTAAATAATCACAATAAACGGAAAGAAAATCCATTTCCTCTTAATAGATGTGACATTGTTGATGAGTTTGACAGGACTGCTATTGCATTCCTCGTGTTAGACGTGAGGATGAACTAGTGCTCCTCATCTTCTTAACTACAAACAGAAATTTTATGGCACTACGGCAATACCTTTTTGACAAGTTGGAAAGGAAACAGAAGAACTAATGGAGTCGAAGGAGGACGGAATTTCCGAAAATGATCAAAAACTTCCACGAGGCCGCTTTTAGTAGAAAAATGTGGTACTTCCATATTTCGCAGGTCGTTTTTCTAGCCGAGTCTACGTGAAGCTCGATAAGACATGAAAAATAGACAAAGGTGGTGCACTTGGTGAGTAGAACGTTATGAAATGAACTTTTTCAGACGATAAAATCCCTAAATAAAGAGATTTTCCACATTCTTCAAACTGCTTTTATGTAAGACCGTAACCGCGGATTCTCAGAAAGCTAAAACCCACATTCCATAAATGAGTAAGGCGACTGACGGCGATGTTGCTCAGACCCAACGTTATGGCAAACAGCGTCATCAAATCTCTGTTCTCCTTTGCGCTCAAATATTCGACCATTTCTCTTTGATGAGATAAAACAAATTGAAATCTAGCACTAACTACATGGCAATTTTAATGAATTTCCGAAGAGTGTTGACTCGTTTCTGAGGCTGAGCAAGCAGTACTTCTGTCGTCGCCCAGTACTGAACCTCGTTAAATCTGAAATAGAAAATACTCCAATGTACTTTGCTACATCTGCAGCTTATTTTTGCCATTGAAATTGACCTCCTAACGGTCTACCATCTCATTGTGGCTGGGAAGTGTTCCTGGGTGTCGGACTGCGATGTACAGCGGGGATATGCGTCCCCACAGCAGGGTCTTCTAAGCTGAGAAGGAGTTTCCATCAGGAAGCCACGCTAAGAGCAGGCAAATACCAGGATCCACCATCGTCATGGTATTAAAGTCGCATGGTGGTAAATCTCCCTCTCATTCACAACAGCTGCGACTGCCTGTGATGGTAAAGACCTGGGGCAGACTATGGACAGGCTGACCTCGGGATTCCAGGAACCACAATAGCTTAACCACTAAATCTTCAAAAAATGGTTATTACGCTAGGGTCCGCACAACCAGTGAGGACGGGCCGTTCAAGTACCAAGTATGAAGTATTGAAATTGAAAGAATTTTAGAAACAAGTACCTCCTCATAAGCAGGTCAAGATTCGAAGGTATTCGCCCTGGAAACTGATCCCGTCCAATTACTTGTGTCACCAGTTCAATTTCGTCTGTCGCCTAAAAATACCTTATGAAGTACTAAAATGACTAAATCACATCTTTCAACATGGATGTTGTCCACAAGACAATGATTTTTCAAGTGAATTCCAATTTCTTCGATTTTAAAGGGAATAGAAATCCTCTAACGTGAAGAAATTTAAGCCTGTTTTAAAAATTGCCGTTATACCACAACGTAAAAACGACGTGTTACCTCAAACAGCTGGGTATGAAGCAGATGAAGCTGCTCAGCTAGTTCATGGCTTCCGACAAACTCCATCATCGATGCATGCACAGATTCGACTGGCCCGTTTTGATCGACCTGAGGAACCTGAAGAACGGTGAACAATTTCGACGCTTCAGGATTCAGGATGATATAAAAAGCGCTCATTTCATGAAAGGATGATTCGCAGAAAGATGCAATTATAGAAACTTGTGCGAAAAGCGTATGTTTCGCTGACCTTCGTCATAGTATCGTTTGTACCACTCAATAAACAGCAACTAAATGAAGCTTCAGAGGCGCAAAGTACTAAGGTGTTCGGCGTTGATCAAACACAGAAGCACCTGTATTGAATTCTATTCGTAGCATTGTGGAAGTGAATGGACGAACATTATGCCTCGGGAATGGCTTGTGGCGGCCTATCAATGTATGAAACTAATGTCCTATTTCACTAGACAAGTTCGTTAACAATTTTCACACTCCGAAGGGATGGAGGAATTGGTTTTTCAAAGAAGACAGATCAAACCAACGAGCACGCGTGCACTGTAGGGGAAGTTTAAGCGCTGTGCAAATCGAGCCTTCATCGTTGTTTATAGAGTGTGTTTATAATTCCTTATTTTACTGTTCCATTAGTGGTTTTATGCCTATTACAAAGTAGTGTAAAAACGCTCAGGAGAAAATTAGTGTGGAAGATTCCTTTGGTGTTTTGTCAAAGAACAAGATTTACTAGTTGGTGTTCTCATTAGCTATGATGAAATTTTAGTTCAACATGTATATTAGGCAATAAATACAGCCGTAAAACCAGGCAGTAAATTCTCTTCCAAATAACCCCTCAACACAACAGTAAGTTCATTCTCTTACGTGCTCACTCAAACTGAGGAAGTTCAGAATCTGCCTAGATAGGATAAAAGTAAACCTATTCTGCTGATTTATAGCAATTATTTGTAATTGTCTAAATAAATTAATGCCCTTGAAATGTCTTTTTGTGGTCTTGTTGGAAGACAATCAGAAAGTTCCACTCAAATAACTGTATACCAAATAAATGGAAACTGTTCTAGAGCTTACATACTTCTTAAAGATGGACCATTCAAGGCGAGCTACTTGAAGAGTTATCCAAGTTCCACACGTTCACTTCACCGCATAGTTTGATACAAAGATGTGGAGAACGAAAGAAAGACTTAGGTGAAGCGAAACATACCAGCGAATCGATCTCGTCCTTGCTGGCGACGTACAGATTACTGTTCAACGACAGCATTGTAGGAATGCTCACATATCCATCGTAGAACACTACCTTTTCTGAATATACCCAATTTAAAAAGATTTTCTGGTTATTACTAAGCATTTTATTTCATTGTCTAGATATTAAGACGCTGCTGAACACGATCTTGTTCACTTCATTGCTTCCTTATGAAGAAATTAGAAATCTCTCTAACCAGTGGACATCACTGGTTGATCTCCAAACAACGCCTTACAGTGTTCCATATTATAAGCTTGCACATTCGATGAACAGGTAGATTTCCAGTGTCGGCTATACTCTGACTTTTTGGATGCGATGCAGTAAATTTTCCATTGCAGTCAATGATGTTCCAGGAGTTCTTAAAAGTTTACTCAAATCGCCTGTACCTCGGCTAGAACGAATCCTTTTTGAAACACTATTTCTGAGTTATTTTGGTGATCGAGAGCATCACGTTTAAGCTTCCTCCATTTTTTGAATACATCAATCGTCGAGAAGTCTTCAGACTATGTGGGTAATTCTACAAGCTATACCAACGAAAGTTATTTCGTGAACCCTAAGCTAACTGTGTATAAAGTGTTGTATGAACGATAATATTCCAAATGAGCTCTATGGTAACATTTACCCCGTTGGAAAAAAATTCTACTAAACGCCAGGCACCATAAAATCAACTGCCCACAACATACATTGTTGAAGAAGAAATCTGGTGAATGCCCTTAATCGAAAACTACTGCTAAGAGGACTCTAGATCATGTGAATTTCGTAGATTCTACGGCAAATCAACCTCTTTGCTACAGTTAAGCTTTAAGAAAAAAATTAGACAACTAACTTAACAAGTAAAAGTAATAATAGTAGTAATAATAACAAGTAGTAACAATAAAAGTATAAAAGGATAGAGCTGTCGGCGTTGATCAATCTCTGAGGGATGCAACATGCATTCGAATTCATTAAACATCGTTTGGGGGTGATTGAATGCATATCTGGCCTTTACAATAACTCGCGGTGGCCCACCGATGTATTCAGCCAGTGCTGCTATCCTCCCACAGAAGTCTGGCACCAATTTGCCCACCCCGGAGGAATGGAAGGTTGGGTGAAACACGGGCGCCGTAATGGATCCTATGTGTATGCCGCATGGCGCCTCCGACCATTGCGCCACACGCCTTCTTCTGAAGGAATCAACAGGATATGTTAACCCCCCTTTGGTTAACGGATATCTACGATAGCCAGTGAGATCTACTGTGTTGACTAGTTACCAATCAATACTCTTATCACACTACACTTATTATTATCAACTATCACCATTTCATTTTATTCTTTGTAATAGTTCAATATGGTTGCACTGTATTTATTCACTACGTTGGTATCTCAATAGCAACAGTGTAACAGCAGGCGCAAAAATTATGCACTCTGCTATTTCAAGGAGTGGAAATAATGACCTTTCACTTTTTTTCAAATTTTTAAAAATTCTGCATCTAGTGCTTTTCAGCTCTTTTATACTTCTTCGCAATCACTTTCTATACTCAGTGGAAAAGGCGTTTAATGCTTGAATTAACGGCTAAAAGCACGCAAATTCCAGCGCACCTCCACTGCTTTTCACTTCGACGAGTGCCAGTTCGTCATTGGTCGAACTGCGCAGCCGTCTGCGAACAAGTTCACAGATTTCCGCGGCCGTCTTGTCCATCAGAATTGGCAGTGCAAAAGACGTCGTGTCGGACAGATGTATGATCTGATTACCTGGAATGATGGGAAGGCGGTAACAAATGTCGTGATGGTAAAGTGAGTTGCTACCAACTCAACATAGAGGGAACAGTTTACGAACAGCGTTTCACAGGGAAGTCAGCATAACACAGGAAAAACGGTTATGGAGGGTTAAACCGATTTGTAACATTGGAATAATTTTATGAGAAACACATCTTCACACCTGAATCCTTCAAACGACTGCTTTGCTGTGATTATAAATGTCTACTTAAGAAAAAACCGACCTTGAGTTAAAGGTCATCAACTAAGGATAACTGGTTTTTACTGATTCATTAAGTGCTAGTAGATGTAGTGTGGATTTTTACTTTGCCTCTCTACTTTTTAGTATTGGATCACGAACACTGTGGGAGCTCTACACTCTTTTCTTGTCAAAAATCGAGTCCGAGGTTATTTCGCGAACTCACATATGTCGCTGGGTAATATAGGGTTTGGAGCAGGTGCCATTGCGGTCAGAACTCCGCACTCCAGGACGACGACAGGATGGCGAGCGAGGGTTCGGCGAGCTTTTTCCCTGAGGTCGCGGAGTGCTGTGATTCTCGCCAGTATCGGCGCCATGCCAGGCAGCGTACGGCAGTCCTCCAGCACATGACAATACAATTCCTGAATCAACTATCATTTTCTTAAGAGCGAAGACAAGTCACAAATGTAGAAATATAAAAAGCGATCCTACTTTTTCTTCTCTTCCCCTCCTCCATCCCTCTCTTCTCTATAATGCTCTCATTTTCCATCTCTCTATGTCCATCTCAGCCTCCTCTGTCTCTTAGCTGTTCCTGCTATCCCTTCTATTTTTCCGTTTTACAGTTTCGTCCATTTAAAATGTATTTCATTCCTGTTCACATCAACGACTGCTCTTCTTATGATCTAGGCTATCCTTAAAGGTCAACTACCCTACGTTAGACATTACACCCCATTTCATTCGACAAAATGAAGGCTTGTGGAATCTGGAACAACAGTGTATATTACGAGTTATGTAAACCCATTTTAAAAATCGACATTGTGCTAGAAATCACCTCAACGAACGCGTTCGCGGCCGGATCCATAAAGTAGTGTATCCCCAACGTGTGTACCCACAACCAGAGGAACGACACCACTCGTTTGCGTGCCGTTAGCTGACGCTCAAGAACGTCGAGAGCCACTAGAGGATCCGCATGCTGCTGAAACAGAACGCCAGAACGATGATAAGGTTCAGAGAAAAAATTTTCGCTCCGACATCAACACATCCAGAATTCTTCCTTCACCTGTCTCAACTGACATCTTAAAAGCCTCAGTTTAATCAACTCCATTTGAGAGTATGAGCAAAACCACAATGAACTATTTAGGTAGAAAAAAACATGCTAACTGTGGTCTTACTTCGGCAGGTCTCGAATAGTAGTGTTTGAGATAGTTACAAAGGGTATTGGTTGGAAGGTAGATGATGTGAGTGAGTACAAGGTCCTCCAGAAACACGTCCAGCTCTGCGCCATCCTCCTGGGCGTCCACGCGTGTCTCCAACACGTACTCAAGTATCTTCTCGGCCAGACCAGCCATAACCGAATAACTAAATGCTGATTGTTTCAGTGTAGAACTTTTTGCTCACTGCCTAGCATTTTTTCATAACAGGGTATTACGTGAAATACAACCATAGTGATGCTGTCTTTGGGAACCTCCCGAAAATGATAATCGTAAGTTTGAAGATGGCTTGGTGTTCCGAGTTTTGCAAATGTCACACCATTACTGTGGTTGTATTTCAGGCTACTTGGTTCCAAAGGAATGCTCACCTTCATTTGTTTTATCTGAACATCGAAAAGGAAAAATAATCGCACAATACAAATTATTTTAGGCATTATGGATACTCTTTATCTTTTAGAGGCAGTACTGTATATTCCCATAAATATATTCGGTTTTCTGCTTCATTTTATCTAGAAGTGAAAATATCGCCTCTCACAAAGGAATAAAAACGCTTCTCTCACCAGCACTGACTTTTGCTGTTCACCATCTGGGAGTTTTCAATGGCGGCTCCTCGTGGCAAGTTGATCTTTTCGAGCACCAGAACATCCTGTCCGTGTTCCTTTAATCGAACTGTGTTTGCTTCTACATCTCGAAGAATCCTTAACAAATATCTGAGATATACGAGCTTCTACTGCTTTTTTGTCACTTCACTTCTCAAGGACATTTCTACGACACCTTGCAATTGAACTGGGTACGAAAATGTTTCGAAAGATGCACACCTTTTACGTCGATTTTTTAAAAAGAAACAAACAAACTCTTGAGAAATGCACCTTATTTCATTGAAAGGCTAACATGAAGTTGTTACCACATTTTTATTCGACTAACTTTTCGACATCTTCGCTTTTATCAGAGCCGATGATCCGAGTCGACGATCCACAGTCGTTCGTCTTCTCGATGTGGTGTCTTCGTCGTCCGCTTCACTGAAGAACATCCTATTCAGTACAACGACGAAGATGCCACATTGAGAACACGAACGATTGTGGACCATCGACTTAGAACATCGGTTCTGATGGAGAGAAAGACGTCGAAACGTTAGCCGGGTAACAACCTCATGTTAGTTTATCCATGAAATAAGGTACATGAATCATTTATATCGAGACTAATGAAAGTCGATTCACAATAACCACTGAGGCTAAAAGTTCAAACACTTTTGAGATATGAAGTGCTATAAAACGTAAAAGCACCTGTTGAAGTCGTGTTTGTCGACAGTGAGGAACTGTGCGTGGTCTTCCCGAAGGACGATGGTGGCCGCTCGTGGACTATCGTTCACCAATGCCAATTTTCCGAAGTCATCCCCTTCTTGCAGAGTGCACACGACACCCTAAAATCCATAAATCCGCTATCAGATGGATTTTGGACGTGAACAGAATGAGAGATAACTATTAATCACAAATTTTTCTTAAAAATCACTCCGTGTTAATAGTAATATGCAGCATGCCGCGTACAACATCCGTGGTAGAGAAACTACTAATCCACCACGAAAGGCATCACAAAAGAAAAATGATTGGGGCAGTAGAAAGAATTGGAAGGATGCGTTGGAGTCAATGCATACGGTCATGGATGTTCTAAATGGGTGTTGAAAAGCGAAATCTGAAGTCGGTCGTAGGTATAGGATCAATGTTCGAACACACCATCGACAGAGTAACGCAACCTTCAACAGGTCAGAGTACGATCGGATTCAGCTGTTAGCACCAAGAAGCATTTTATATGATTCAAATCAAACCCACTGTCATTACGGAATTGTGACTAAAATATGGTGAACTTCTCGAAGTGATTGATTTATACTTAAGATTTTAATCAATCCATCAACTGACACCAGTAAATTAGAAGAGCTTCAGACTAAAATTAATTACAGCTAACAAGTTCGTGATTTTAAATCTCAGTAGATAATCACATCTACCGCCTTGTTAGATAGTATAGAATCACCATAAAGGAAAAAAGCTGAAGAAAAGGAGACAAAAAAGCGCAAGAAAAGGCTAGCCCACCTTTCCATGGATGCTTACATCAACGCTTCCACGTAAAATAATGTACCAATTCTTTCCAGGCTCTCCCTGATGAAATAAAACTGTTCCTGTAAAAGGGCCACTATCTATTTACAGTTCTAACTTATTATTTACTGCCTACTCTTTTTAACGGCAGGGCATATATTGCGAAATATAACCTCAATGATGCTGAGATATTTGCAATATTCCCGACCGCAGGCATCTGCGGTGGGGAACGAACGCGCTATTGCCCTTTCCAGGGAGTAACGCGTTTACCACTACACCATGCGGGTCCTTCGTTTCGCCCGTCTCTCACCTAGTTCTATCGATCTTTTTCTATCAGCAATCACCCGTCAGCGTGATTGATCTGGGGAGCCCAAATCGGCAATCCATTTATCTATTTAATTTTTAATTTACTTATTTATTAACCTACTATTTATTTAGTCCACCAGAATTCAGTCTATTCAAGATAAAGCATCTATGAAAAACAATTCATCACTTCTATTTTGAAGCGCCGAATTTTCTAAGAATCATTTCGCTTTAAACTATTGCGGTTGAAAAGAACTAGACATGTTGTAAAACTGTCACAAAACCGAGGAAAATGACTAGATGGGAAAAAGTAAACAGTTATGAGACAGAAATTTCAGCTTTCTTGCAAGAAAAAATTTAACAAACCTACCTATACATCACGACAAATATCATTCTGTGAATCTCTGTGAAGCTGACTAATACTTCCTTCATAGTTCTTGTAGATAGCAATATCAAACTCAAATGAAAGCCGACAATTCCGAAACCAGACCACTCACCTGCATTGCTATGATGCTCATAGCCGATTACGGTAGCAAGCTCACGTTTCACCATAGTGCTGAGATGCGAGAGTGCTTTTACATGCAGCAATTCTTCATAGACTAATTCAAGTTCCTCTGGTGTACGATCGTGAGGACTGTAAGTGCAAAATGTTATAGGGATAAAACCAGGAAATGATATCTGATCTGAATATTACGGCTTTTTCAGGATCATGCGGAATAACGCATCCGGTCCGACGGTGCTGAGGAAGAAGATGGCACTAGCAAGATCCTCTCGACTGGGCACCTCCTTCATACACGATTCCATCAGTGGCATTCTTCCTATGAAGGAGTATCATGAAAAAATATTTATGGAGAATGATTTAGACGTGCCTACGAAGAGAATTCATCAACCATTGTGTCCGACATGGAAGGAAACTTTTGCACTATTAAGGAAGAATAATCGTCGCTTCCATAAGCATTTATTTTGCTAACAAATTTTAAACATCCAGTAGATCCTATCGTAGGTATGAACTTGCGGACTTTTGTTCTTTCAGTAAAAGAGATACAATTGATATTTTTTCCTAGTAATGTTATCCATCACCGTTTAGGTGAAAAAGGTAAGTTGTTGTAAGTTTCTCTGATATTGGAACGAATTGTGACGGCTGAGTTTGTTTTATCATCGTTCATTCGTTTTTTACAAAAGATTTCAATGTTGTCTCAATTGTCTAGGATCAGAAGAAACAGCATCTATGAAATTCATTCTCGTAGAGCGACCTTTCTCTTCATAAGTTGCTTCTTATGCTTCTCGACCGTGGTTCCTTTTCTCTTTTACTACTTGGTATTCATCAAAGAAGGGCAGATAGCACAGTGGTAGTGATGTCCGTCATCACGAGCAAGATGATAGTTCGATTCCGTTCCGGCCTCTCATCCTTCTGGGGTCAGGAAATCGGTACCGGATTTCTCTGGGAAAAATCACTCTCTGCTATCCAATTGGGAAAGCTCCAGTCCGGCTATCCCAGGACTCCACGGAGAATCGCTCGACTGGCATTCTACGACATTCAAGATGAAATGAAAATCCTCAAACATGAGCCGAAATCACACGCAAAAGAAGATCGCGAACAATGGGTACGATGAAACGAACTGTACGTGATAAGTGCTGGGATCCACACAGTAGACGTGACGACGGAACAAATAAAATTAAAAAAATATCATCAAAGTGGTTTTTTTGAAGAAGAAAATCGAAATAAACACCTGGTGAACCATTTGTTAAACGCCATGTTTGTTCAACTCTATCGTTGTCAACCCATCGATAACACACCGACTTGTCGACGAACTGTAGTTCATTCGTCACTAAACCGATCGATACTTATGGCTTCTGCACAAAAATCTCAAACCACTGCTGTCGTACAGGTCAAGTTATTCGTTTATCGCTTTCACCTTTTTACTGTCTTCGTCTAACCTTCAAAAAATCATGCTATATTTCCATAAAAATGAAAAATTAAAATACAGCAAATAAACCAGTACCATGGCAAATGATATTTTGTTCCAGAAGAATCTGCCACATACCACTGATCTAAAAATAAGTGTAAAAAGAACTAATTTTTCAATATGTTCCTTATTCAAAACTAGACACGTTGACGACGAAAATATTCCAGGCATCTTTTGAGCGGCACAGATAAGTGAGCTTGTGAGCAAAAGCTTAGGGTTCTTCTCGTAATGGATAGAAAGTGGAGAACATGGATGGATTGCTATGGATTTTAAACTGTTCTCTCAACTCGATGGACGAAAAAAGGTGTTTGTATAGAGAAAAGTGGTACGTCGACAGAAGCGGACCTGAAAACGTGACAGAGATGGAGAATGAGCACCCGTTGAAACCGACAGCTCCAACAACCAATCCACCATGTCGCTACCTATCATGCAATCTGCATACGGCTGAAAGATCGAACTTTTCATCTAGACAAATTACGACGGAAGCGTATATAAATTCCATAGAAACATTTCACGTCGTCTAAAGATCTAAAACTATCCAAAAATTAAGGAATGGCGCTGGTTTTATTCCCAAATTGCTGATAATTTTTCTATAACTAGAAAAACTGAGAAGTTGAAATCGCGATTGGCTTACAGGAGAGATTTTACTCTATCTACTTAAAAATGAGTGTGCCTTTTTTTTAAAAATAAAAATGAGTCTTCAAAAATGTTCCTTGGTTTTTAAAATTGCTTAAACTAAAGCTTTCGAAAGAAATGAAAAATAAGTTTAAATTTTTGAGACTTCAAACCAAGTGTCGACAGCGATAAACATCAACAACGGATTTGGGGATATCATCGTCTTCTAATGAAGGAAACATCTCTTGTTCACATGTTTTAACCTAAAAATGGGAACTTCGATGGAAAAAAGTGCCCAAAATATGGTGAGCTCCACAAGGTTCAATTTGAACTGAGATATCTCAATTCAAAGTTGACAGCGGTCAGTATTTTCGCACCATTTGAGCGGAAATAAACTCATGCAGAAAATATGAATGAGTGCGAATATCTGAACATCGGAGAAAACTGAAGGAAAACTACTAAAAGAACAAGATAGTTCCACGAAATATGGCAGATATCGTTTGAAAAAAGACGGTGATCACAACGATTACACATGAATAGCGAATTTCTTCCCATGCAAATTATTTTACGAGCTGCCACATATCTTTCGTATGTACTTAAAGCTCCATTGGATATTCCAGAACTAAAAACCGAACATACATTCATCTCAGTCCCAGCAGGGGTTCTACGTTCTTCCGGGATAAGTGAATGAGTAGAAGGCACGTATGCGAAGACTACTTGACTGCTGGTTCGCGTAACTCATTCATACAAACCAAACCCGGATTACTCCGCCTTAACGAATTTAGAAAGTGTTAAGAGTGTAGTCCCGTATCTGACTAAAAGATAAAGCCTTCGGCCCTCATCAATTCCTATGCAATATGCCATGTTTACGACAGCACCAAAAAGAGGCTGAATGCAAAATTTTTTCAATACAACGACATCCGATAGTCTTGTACGAAGTTAGTGTTTTTACACTCTAAACAAGTCTGGCATCATTTTGCCAATCCTGGAGAGATGGAGGGCTGTTTATCGGATAGAGCCATTGATTATAAGCGCACTGTTTGGCACACCTAGACGCTGCGCCGCTATGTCCCAGATAGCAACAGAAACGATGCAATTAGTAGGCTAACAAGATCGCCAAATTTCTTGTATTGTTCTTTAAACTTTTTACTACCTTAAAAAGAGGCGAAGAACTTCGAACCACGTTTTGCTAACAACCTTCTTTCCTTCCTACTTCTACTACGCAAAAGAAGCCGACCGTTTTATTGACGATCCGTTCCCGAATGAGATGCGGAGCCTGCATGAGCATCGAATGTCTCAGTTGAGCACCAACTTCTCGAATTCGAGCTTCGAATGACTAAAAGCAATATGGTTGCGGTACAGACACGTTCCTTTATATATGGGTACTCCATAGTCGCTGAAATGTCGTTAAATCCCCCACAGTCATAGGCCAGTGATTACACAAAAGCAAAAAAGACGTAAACAAAAGAAGTTTTTAAAAGAATAGAAGCCTGCTTTTTCAATAATGACCTAAAAGTGACGTCTCAGACGTCGAAAATAAATAGCGATTTCATTGTTCTTCTTTGGTTTTGGAATTTAGAACAAAATAACAGTTTAAAAAAATATCCCTAGAAAAGAAAATGAGATAAATCGATTATATATTTCAAACGTTAGAGTGGGAGAGACAAAATCCACGATAACATCCGAAAAACTAGGATGTGGCGTATTTTATGTGCAATTTAACAGAAGTAAAACGTCTTGCACTCACAATGGAGTTGTTGAACTCGATGATGTTACCCCGTTCGTCAGAAGATTGTTTAGGGAACTGCTCCAACTCTGCTTGCATTGCCGTCACATCGAACGACGACGACTCTGAACAAGACAAACGCAGTGGTTGACATCTGAGCTGAAGTGTGAACAATCACATCGGATTCATGATGAATCTATGATTGGGCTTCTTCTTGATGTATGTTACTTCACAACGAAAGTTAAAAAGCAGTAACTTAATACAGTTCACAAATGGCTGTTATTTCACCCTTTCGACGTTGAATCAACACTACGAAAACATAAGCAGCTATAAGCTATATATGCGGGTTTACGACCATGAGTACGCGGCGATATTCTATCATTATTGCGAGCAGAGTTCTTGATTAAGAACTGTTGAAAAGGTTATACATCCCTATATTGCTACAGCAAAGATCTAAATAAAGTACCGTCATTTGCTGAAGAACCAGCACGATCACGAATGCATTAAACAGCGGAAGTTTGTCATTGATGCTGTAGAGGAGGAAAAACGAATCAAATGGTGTAAGGGAGGCGAATCAGATTCGTTAGATTGACAGAAAGGAGTTGGAAGAACGAAAGGATCGAGAAAGTCCCAAGGGTACAGAATATTGACCTATATCATGCAAAATAAAATCAATTCTCACTTTTGTTGATCACAACTTTGTACAATCCTAAGCTCTTATCATTATACCTCCCTCATCTAATTTCGAGGTTCTTAAGACTTCATTCCGATTCGCCGATTATCCAGCTTAGTGACAAAAGCGGATCTTCATGATCGTATTATATCTGTCAGAATCAACCAAAACGAACAGTAAACGGGAACCACTAAAATCGAAAGCAGAGAACGGACAACGATGATTGAGGTCGGCACCTGACTGAAATGTTATGCCGGTGTGCAATTCGCGTAAACTATCGCTTTAGTACGCAACCACCAATAATAATCTAGTCATGAATTATCATGACGGAACCTATCCGCGTCCTTTCAGCAGTTCCCATACATCTGCTATCGATCATCGGGAATAGAAAGGCAATATCCATGTTGCTACAGATTGTGACGATTAAAAGAACTGGACGTCATTTCGAATAGACGAATAGAATAGAAAGGTTTAAAAATCACCCAGACTAACCTGTGCTAGGATGTTTCATTATCAATACAATATAAAAAGTGGAGTATAGTAGGAAGACCAGGCTGGTAATCTCCTGTGATCTCTTTCTACACACTGCCATGCGTAATTTCATGCAAGCCGTTCTCTTTGGCTTCCATAGATTTCACCGTTAGAAATAGAAAAAACATGTTGCTTCGAGGCCGTTCCATTTCAGATAGCTAAATCCAAAGGCAATAAATAAACAAATAAAGAGACAAGCAAATATATGCGTTGAAATGTATCGCCAGGAAAAGAGTTGTTTTAATTTTGTGTTCCGCACTGGTAACATCGTTGTTATTTCATGACAGCTTAAAAGATCAAG